AATTATGTATGAGTGATGGTGGTGGTAAAAAATGCCACTATACTAGTGTCAGTGCCACACTGACCTATGCTGAGAGATCCTATTGCGAGGGAGGATGCGGATTGAGAAACCTCCTTTCTCATACAGCATATTCCGTGCTCCATCTCAGTCGACACTTCGAAATGCAGTCTGTTTCATTGGGATGGAAAAAAAACTCCAAAACATGACAAAATCATCGGTTTGATGCAACTCGCGAGAGCTAGTTTCGCTGCCCGAGTTTGGTCGGCTTTTCGGCCCAGTTTTCGCCTTCCCCCCGGGGGGGGGGGGGGGAGGTATATTTTGAGCTGCATCTTAGTAGACCTTTCAAGAAGCAGCCTGAGTCACTTGCAAAAAAGTTCTCCAAAACATAATAGAAGGATCGGTTTGATCCGACCCGCGCAAGCCAGTTACGCTGCTCGAGTTCGGTCGCACCCCCCTCCCCCCCCCCTCCCGCCCGGGGGTATATTCTGAGCTGCATCTTAGTCGACCTTTCAAGATGCAGTCGCAATCATTTGCATAAAAAATTCTCCAAAACATGGCGAAAGAATCGGTTTAATGCGGCTCGCCGACTCTGAAATCGGTGGCGTGAACACCCCCCCCCCTTACCCATAAGGCGAAATTGTCAGTTTTTGAGTTCGGATGGTCTCTAGCCTATTCAGAGGATACAAAAGACTCAAGAAACCATCAAAGAATCTCATAGGCGACCAATAAACCCGGGTGTCAAAACTGCCAATTATACGCCGAATTGGCAACTTTGACCCCCAAAATGGGGGGTAAAACTTCGAGATAGGGAGAAATGCCCATTGACACTTTTGATCAGTAGGTTAAGACCTACAACATATCAAAACGCCAGCCGATTTAACCGGGCCCACTTTTCCCATAAGACCGGTCCGTCGTCCTTTGAAGCTGTTAGAGCAGTAATTTTATCAGACAAGAGTGACCGTCTAAATGCAAAACCCACTTACGACAGATCTCAGAAACTTTGCATCACCGCAAGGAGATATTAACAGAATATCTATACACCAAATTATTTACGCAACTAGGTGAATTTCTTTGGTAAATTATTGCGCTTAAGAGAAAGTCCTGACCGTAGAAAACAAGAAATAATACCTGTACCGATAGCATAACTGTGTATATGCACTACAGTGGTCACTTACAAAGAACAGACACGAACAAACACTTATGACAAACATTGAAGAAGAGAGCAGAACTGGATTAAGTAACTGTAATCTTTGATTTAGTTCTACTGCGAATTTGAAGAGCCATAAGACACACATCAGATGTGTAATCACTTGGTTTGGGCCAAAGAAACCTCGAACTACATGAGATTATATCAGTGAAGCTTGAGAGGTCAAAAGGCTATAATACTACGAGGGTCATCCACAAAGTAAGTTTCCCTACCTTGTATCTTCCGAACAAAAAGAGATAAATTAAATCAATAAAAATGTACACATTTGGCATACTCTAAGCTTTAAAACAAGCTCAAGTTTTTGAAAATCGGTCGAGGAATTCGCGAGAAAACTCAGTTTTACTGAGACGACCTCCTGTCGTCGCGTGCCCACCTCCGAGGTCAGGATGCGCGGAGAGTCGTTTACTTCAGACTCGGCTTATCGCCTCTAAACATCAAAACTTAAAAGATTTTATTAAGTAGGCCTTACCTTACTTTTTGAGATAGTCTCCGCATCTTTTTTGACATTTCTGGTATCATCACAGCAGCTTTTTCATGCCTTCCGCGTAGAGGGTCTCGTCTTGGCTCCAAAACCAGTCATTGCCAGCGATTTGCACTTCCAAATCAGTTGCTTTCCGTGGTAAAATGTTTCCCCAATCCTCCGCTTTCTCATAATTTAGCCTCAGGAGACTTTCGTCTATTCCTGAGATGAAAAACTCCCACTGTGGAAAGCGACTTCCAACCGATTTAGAGCTGCAGAGCGCTGGCAATGACTGGTTTTGGAGCCAAGACGAGACCCTCTACGCGAAAGGCATGAAAAAGCTGCTGTGATGATACCAGAAATGTCAAAAAAGATGCGGAGACTATCTCAAAAAGTAAGGTAAGGCCTACTTGATAAAATCTTTTAAATTCCTTTTTGATTTGATGTTTAGAGGCGATAAGCCGAGTCTGAAGTAAGCGACTCTCCGCGCATCCTGACCTCGGAGGTGGGCACGCGACGACAGGAGGTCGTCTCAGTAAAACTGAGTTTTCTCGCGAATTCCTCGACCGATTTTCAAAAACTTGAGCTTGTTTTAAAGCTTAGAGTATGCTAAATGTGTACGTTTTTATTGATTTAATTTATCTCTTTTTGTTCGGAAGATACAAGGTAGGGAAACTTACTTTTTGGATGACCCTCGTAAATAAATGGTGAACTTCTAACTCTTGAATGAATTCAGGACCACATACTTAAGACAAAGAAACTGCAAAACATTTGATTTGAGGCGAAAATGAAAAGAGAATGGTCAAAAAATAGTAAAAGAAGAAAGTCTGGGTTTGGACATTGGACTTGTAAAACTGATTTTCAGAATGCACCTTGAAATGAGCCGATAGGCCGTGGCTTCAGGTTGTAAAATACGATGAATATTATCGCCAAATACTTAGTTGAAGTCGTAAATGGATTTAAATTAATTAAAATTAAGAGATTTCGAGTTGTTTGGATCCTTGGTGTTATCTATCTTCGTTTGTTTACGACCCACACGCGGCAGAGGCATGCAGAGGTACCTCGCCGGCATGCTAGGTTAAAAGCGTGGCCATCGCCGGACGGATAGAATGGGCGCCATTTTAAGATGGCCCAAGCGGCGCGCGTTTAAATGGGAGCCCAAAATACGGACTTTTGGACTCGTATTTCGTGGGTTAATATTGCTCAAAAAAATCGGAGAAAATTCCTGTGAACTATGTGCACTCTCTAGTTTCCAAAAATGCAAGAATTACGAATTACTGAACAAGCTCATTAGCTGAGGAGTCGGGAATCGAACCCACATCTTGAAACATGCGGGCGCTTCCGACATCTTAGACGACTCGGCCACCGCGCATCTTAAGGAGTCAGGGGCGAATCTTGTGTTGATAAGTAGAGCTGATGCGCAGGCTACTCAGCCACTGCGTAACCTCTTCAACCACTGCGCAACCTTCTGAGCATAGCGGCAGCAGGTTGCGGAGGATTCTGTAAATTCGCTCACTTTTATAACTTAATTGGAAAAAAACCTGGGTCCTATTTCCAAAATCGGATTAGAGCGGGCTCATTTAGGGCCTATCACCTGTTGATGACCGCAAAAATCATGAAAATCAGCCCGATAGAACGATCAAACGAACTATGACAAAGAACATAGATTTACATTGTTTAAATGGAAAAATTCGCACTTTTACCAAGTAATATAAAAAAACCTGGATCATATTTTGAAAATCTAAATAGAGCGGACTCATCTAGAGACAACTGCCCGTCGATATCCACAAAAATCGTGAAAATCGGCCTGGTAGAACGCTGGAACTAAGCGTTACCGGTTAAGCAAAATTAGGAGGTCTCGGAGCTTGTAGTATAGATGTGTAGCAGGGCTCACGTCATAATGAACACAGTTCCGTTTGGTAGAAGTACGTTCAATTCTACGATTAATTCCCGCATTTTCATTCATGCGCGTTTGAATGAAACTATGGGATTGAAGCTTCGTTTTTACGGGCGCACTCATTTCGCAGTATTTGAAATCGTCTTAACACTTAAAGTGCCGCGGAAGATGGCTGGCTTGGAAAGAAGAAGGGCCCGGGCGAGGGCGACCCTCTCGGCTCGTATACCGTCGCGCGAGAGTTTTATGGGTCTTTTAGGACGCTGCCGTCTGTCCCAAAAAATATCGAAAACGCTCATGTGTCTTTAAAGAGAAACCGTGTTATTTCTGCGCAATCTGACAACCACATTATTTGTCCCAGTTTCGCAAAGGACCTTATTTAAAATCGGCCATTTCCAACCTGGGCCAAAACTTTGTAATATTTTCAGGGGTGATAGAGGACCACTTCCCGAGTCCAAAACACTGACGATTTTTAAATTTGGATTGTTTTAAAGCTTAGACGGTCTACTTTCAAAAAATAATAGTTTTGTAATTTTTCGTGCGTTCCTTTCAACGCAATGGCTCAAAACGTAAAAAATTGAAATTTTGAGCTACGGCAACGTGGTAACAATGGATGAAACTTTCAAAATGGACCAATTTCGTGAACAGCAGCTGAAATCTGATAACTTTCTCTAAATTTTGAGACCCAGATCACCTCTCTGCGACAAACCGTTCACGAGATATGCCAGTTTAAAGTTTTAACTTTAACTCCCTCCCCCTCCCGCCTTAATTATCCAAATTCAAAAATCGTCAGTGTTTTGGACTCGGGAAGTGGTCGTCTATCACCCCTGAAAATATTACAAAGATTTGGCCGAGGTTGGAAATGGCCGATTTCGAATGAGTTTCTTTGGAAAAAAGGCAATTACTCTCGTATGGGTGAAAATTTCAAAAATCGGGCTTCTAGGTGCACGTGTGCGTATAAGGCTGCATCAGTGTGTAGGAAGGTCTATGTTGAGACTTCAATGGTATGCTCTGTACACCTTGACATAGACACGGTGAATTATTTAGATCTTTCGCGATAACTCGACCATTTTTAAGCATTTTATGGACAAAAAGCTTCAGCATAACCATTTCAGCTCGCCCCTTCATCATGACGAATTTCAAGTTCATCGGATCAATATTAGTCACGAAATAGGCAGAAATAGATTTGCAGATTTTTCGCAATTACTCGGCTAAAAATGAAAAATTCGAAAAAAGGAGACCGTGCCGTCCTATAACACAGAAGGTGTCACAACTCTGTAAAATTTCCATACTCTCGTCCTAACGGTAACTTCTGGACAGGGCAGAACAGATCTCGACAATTTTAGGGCTTAGGATTTTATAATATAGTAAGAAATTTGCACAGCCCTTTGGCTTTTGGCCGGCTTTGACTAATTTTGTTCCCATCTTTCATCTTCCAGTTTTAAATGTATCTTCCTCAACCACTCTTACTGGGTCACGAAACTTAGTTTCCTCATCGCCCCTCCCCACAACTCCAGCCTCTCCAAGACAAGTAGCTACCGGTAAGTTAATATAAGTTAATACTCTCATATTAGCACCCCGCCAGTTCTAATCTCAAAATTATTGAGACAATTCAAAATAAAATACTCAGACAAATGGCAGGGGCCAGGTGGTACGAGCGTAACATCGATATTAGAGATGAGCTTGGGATCGAAGAAATGGACATGTACATCTCACGTACGTACAATAGCTATGAAGAGAGACTGGGCAGTCACCCCAATCCCGAAGCAATAGCGCTTTTGGATTGGGGCTCTGAGACCCGGTGGTTAAAAAGACGCAAACCACATGAGTTGAGCACGGCTCATTTCCGTCGGTGTTAGGCTCGTGCCTCTGGCCCCTATCAGTCTTAGTTGACTGACAGGGCGAAAGCATAGTTATAAAATTAAAAATAAAATTTTCTAGAATCTAGTTCTAGGAATAATTATAGTTAATATTAGTCAGTTTTTCTCCCGCTTTTTACAGGATTTTACTTCTATCTCATTTGTTCATCTTTCATTATAATTCTCATTAATTTAATCCATAAAGCGGTGTTTATTTCTATATTATTATATTAGGCTTAAAGGAAAATTTGTAAAGACTTGTAAGGTCTAGTAATATAAGTTGTAATTCAATATGTGTAATTACGAAAATAAGTAAATAATAATAATAATAAAAAAAAAAATATTAGCACCAGGGTTTTTTTAGGCAACAAATACTGAATGATTCATCAAACACACACTATACTGGATTGTTTTTATACAATTGTACCCTTAAAATTGTGTTACCTAACCTAAAATCACCTGATACATTATAGCCTCCTCTAGAATATCCTGATTTCATCTGATTATTTATCTTACTAGCCGTTCTGGGCGCGCTTCGCGCGCCCGGCACGTCTAGCCGGGGGGCTGCGTCCCCTGGACATTCGACTCGCTTCGCGAGCCGATTTTGTAGTGGTTGCGAATTTTTCATCACTTTATTATGAAGATTTCATAGAAACATTGTTACATTTTCCCTCCACAATTAATTAACTTGTAGAATAATAATGACGGGGCAAGAGATAGACTGTATCTTGAAATGGACGGTTCCCACTTAGCAGAAACAGCCAACACCACGAGAAAATGAGGAACCATCTTTAGCTACCTTTTTTTTTTCCTTTTTTTTTTTTTTTTACTTTTCGGAAAAAAATTACTGAAATTTTAGTTGAGCTTAAATGATAAGTATCAATATAAATTTCCCCTTTTTACAGTGTCATTAAAATAATAAAAAGTTACCCAGAGGGAAATTTCATTTATATTCACGGTGGGCCTGCAACTCAAAATTTGAATAAATTTGCCGTTATTCAATTGAGCTGGGCCTATATATGAAATCCCACAAACCCATTAAACTTACATTGACAGGTCGGGAGTTCGTCTTATGACGCACAATGTCAAAAAACAAATTAATTGTGTCGCCAGACAACACGTCCTGCAATACTTCATCAATTGAAGCTGGATTCATGCTTATTTTATCAAAAATATCCTCAGAGAACAAAGGATAGGAAAAGAAATATTAGGACAGAAAGGAAATGAAAAGACAGAGAAACGCAGAAGAGATTCAAGAAAAGCACAGTATAACAGAGAAAAAATAAAGAAAAATAACAAAGAAAACGACTCCACTATGGTAATATGAGCTCAGCTGCGTGTGAGCATTAGCAAGATAAAATAAAAACAGATTTAAGAAAAACACAGTAAAGCAGAGAAAATGTACAGTCAAATAAATAAAGAAAATTACTATCAAAGAAATTCTAATTATTCGGAAAATAATTCGCTGGCGTAATCTATGCGTAGCTGCGTGGGAGCATGAGGGAGATTTATCATCAACTGACCGTGGCCGCTAGGTACCCTGGTACCTGGGTGGGCGAGCGACAATGCGTAAGCGGTGGCATGGTTCGATTGACAGAGGAGTGGGGAACGTTCAGACGTAGGGGAAAGGTTCAGGCTGAACCGTTCAGCACAGCGCAGCGTCAGTCACCGGGTGGGGAAGAGAGGCGGGGAGGGGACACTTCCCCTCGAGTGAAATAGAAAAAGGTAGAATCGCTGAAAGTCTGAATCCTTCAAAGTTTATATTAATGATACTGTTATAATGATATTGGATAATAATTATTTCTTTACTGTATTAAACGTCCCTTCAGGTGGGGTCAGATCCATCCAGGTGTACTAGTGAAGGTTTTTGAATTAAACCTTTCATAATATAGCTCTCAAATCTCACTCAATAATTTTACATTAAAATATAATAAATGTATCAATTGGTCTCATTTTTCTCGTAAAATTGATAGAAGATGTATTTTTACAGGCGCTGAGAAGAGAAATGCAGACTGTGTGACTGCATCAAACACTAAAACTACTATGCTTTATACCACTGCTATAATTTCTAGTGGCCGAACAACCAAAACAACAGCAACCCATACTCAAACCACTGTCACTACGACCTTTGCTGCCAAGCTTTCATCAGAACCTAATGCTCGTTCAAACTCTGTGATACCGGTGACTTCCAACTCCCAAGTGCCAAAATCTCAACCTTCCATTCCACCTAGCACAACATCCTCTAAAACGGTGCCAGGAATTGGCAGGCCCATATCTTTGGTGACACCGATGCCTGTCCTACCACCACAACAGCCCCAGCTTGCTCAACAGCAACAAGCTAAGCAGCAGCTGAGGCAACAGCAGGCAGTGCAGCAACAGGGACAGCAGCAGGCAGTTCAACAACAGGGGCAGCAACAGGCATTACAGCAACAGGGGCAGCAGCCGGTAGTGCAGCAACAGGGGCAGCAGCCGGCAGTACAGCAACAGGTACAACATCATCAACAACAGATTGTACAGCAACCACAACCAATACAACAGCAGCATCAACAGGTATTGCTGCAGCAACAGCAGATGCATAATTTGCAACAGCAACAGTTGCAACAACAACAACAACAACAACAACAACAACAACAACAACAACATCATCATCATCATCATCATCATCATAGACACCAACTACAACAACAACAACACCAGCAGCAATTACAACAATCAATGCAACAGCAAACTCAAACAGCCCCTCCTCAACACTCGGTAACAAATTCTGGCTCATCTCCAGGAGGATCGTTAAGCTGCCCGCCTGAGTATTCGCTCTTTAACGACTCATTCTCTAAGGTAAGTCTATCTTGAACTTCATATTATATTTCTCAGCGCATATTCTACAGGGTGTCCAGGAGTTAACGTACTTAACTCTCAGGATCGATTTTTCGGCTCAAAATGTGACTATGTTTTCCTGTACACATATGCCCGAAAACGCAATTGTCTAAAAACGCGTCATTTCGACGCAACAGAGCTTCGAAAGAGTTTCAGATTTTCGAAGCTCCTTGCTGAGAAGGAAATTTTTACTGCAGGGACTGTAAGAAAGTTGTCTACGGAGCAAAAGGCTTCGAAAATCCCGAAGCTGTCGCGACGGAATCATCCCTCAGAGTTTTGAAGCCCCTTGTTCTGTAGGCAATTTTCTTACAGTCCCTGCAGCAAAAATTGCCTACTCAGCAAGGAGCTTCGAAAATCTGAAACTCTTTCGAAGCTCTGTTGCGTCGAAATGACGCAATTCTGGACAATTGTATGCAGTACTTCGGAGCCCTGATTTTTTGCGCTCTTTCACGTGTTGTAATCCGTTTTTCCAAATATCATTTACCAAAGGAGTTATCGCATTTTTGAAATTCAGGAATGCTCATTACGTCATTTCCCAAAGACATACGTCCTTGAAAATACAAAAAATGAACTGCGCTAAAAAATACCCCCCCTACACCAAGTTTCAGCTACTTACGACAAAATAAGGAGGAGTTATATCAATTTGAAAGAAAGAAAATGGCAACGTTGGAAGCGCATAGCTCACTTATGAAGTGTTTTCGGGCATATGTGTATAGGAAAAAATAGTCATATTTTGAGCTGAAAAATCGATCCTGAGAGTTAAGTACGTTAACTTCTGGACACCCTGTATTTTTTATGTAGGGACATTGTTGCACTCCTCTGTTTCAAATGATCTGTGTTTTTACTGAAAACATTCAATACAGACTGTAGCGATTTTTTTAAAGAAACTCCTCAAAGCACCCTGCACCCTTCTTATGAAGATGTGTACCAAGATCAATTTTTAATTTTTTTATTGTCTTAAATCAATCTGTCAATGGATGCTGATCAAAAGTCATCATTGTGCCAACTTCTTACAAAGCATTGCTCTCTCACAATCCATGAAAAATTTTTCAACAATTCCTTGCGTCAATAAAGGTAGTACAGTTCTCGAGTATGGTTCGGGTCGGTCGAGTGAGAGTAAATCACGTAAGCAGGAAAACCGATTAGCCTCCGAGTGACAGTCTTATCTTGGATTCCATACGTCTTTTCTTTTTACCATCCAAATTATTTTCTTTCTCTCTTACCCACTCAATTGTCCTTACCAGACGGACACACACTGCGTTTTTATTTTAGCTGGCCTGCTCTAGAAATTACCCAAACTTCAATAGCGTCCCGTGCCAAAACAGTGGCTTGTAGAAAGTTGATACAAGGATGACTTCTGATTTACATCCATAGACGAGTTCAAAACAATAAAAAAATGTAATACCAATCGTGGTACACATCCTCATGAGAGGTGTGCAGGGTCTGTTTCATTCAGTTTAAGGAAGGTGCTTTATTGCTCATCATATTTACACAGTTCAATAGGCAAAGCAGCAATTAAAAGCATGCAGCAATGCCAGTAGAGCACCGAATCAAGAGAGGATTGAGTCTAAAGTCCCTGAGTTTGGAGCCTGGAATCACAGCACCAAACAGTAAAAATTACAGTCAATTCCAAATTAAGTGAGTGTAAACTTGCTGATTCAATTCTAGGTGCTCTGTCACCAGCAACAAATTAAATTAGCATCTAGTTTGATCAAATCAAATCAGGCTACTCAGTACGAATGCAGCTATTATGTGATTTACCACTACTATCGTCTCAGCTGCAAAAGCTGTCCATGAGCTTGGGAGTTGATTTTAGATGGAACTTGCAACACCATAAAAAATTTGCTACCATATTTTCTACCATATAGTCTTGCATTTTAAGCAAACTTGAACCAAAGATGGGTTACCTTCTATGTTTGGTCCGAAATTCATGTACAGAGAGTAGCACTGCCCTGTTTCTCATATAACCTGAGCCTCAATTCAAGTATATTCTCACCAGATTTTATGCCAATAATAGGGTGGCAAGTCCTTGAAAAGCTGTGGAAAACCTGGGAAAGGTAGGGTATTTTGGCCAACCCTGGAAAGTCAGGGAATTTTCAATGAAAATAAGGAAAATGAGATTGGATGATGAGCCGGAATTCATGAAAAGATGAAGCGAAGTATGTGAATTTTATAAGTTAATTAGAATGAAAAATCATGACACCGAAGTGGGAAGATGCAGAGGCAACCTGTAGCGTGTGCGTTGTGTGATCCCCTCCCTAGGATGTTTCTAATATTTTATTTTAATGTTCGAATTCGAAGGAGGTCCTGGTCTTAAAAATTGATGTGTGGATAGATTAGAAGCCTAGTACAAGGAAAAAATTTAGAAACAATTTATTCCCGGTGCTCAAACGACTTGAGTGACACAGGTTGAAATTGGGGGAGTTTAGGTAAAATAACACCGTTTCCCCCGGGAAAACGCCGCATCACGGCGCCTTTGAGCGAAAATTTCGTCCATTTGGTCGTATCTGCGATACAAAAGCCGCAAAATACCCGAGAATGGCGCGCGCAACGAGAGACACAGGAAGCAAAATGGGCGCGCCTTAGTGCAACGCGCAAGCGTCCTCTGCACTGCTTCCGCTATATGCCGTACGCACGCACCAAGCTTACGCGGGCCCGAAAGTTCCCGTCTGCAACACAGCATTATGAGTTGACTTGGATCCACTACAACGTTTAAAAATAGTTGGAATGTACGTATATAAAAACATCAAAAAGACACAGTTTCCTAGTAAAATGTTGGATATACTAGCTGCTTCAGCTCGCTACGCTCGCTTGCGCCCTCTAGCCAAGGGCTTCGCCCCGCGAAGCGAGCCAAATTTTGCTACTACAGGCAATTAGAGGACTCCCCGGACGCAAAATGATAAATACAAAAACAAAGAATAAGAAACTAATAATGATAACCTACTTCTAGAAAAAGAAACATCCTTGAAAATTAAAAAACATTCTTAGAAGAGAAAATCAAAACACTTTGTGAAAATTTAACGGTGCGAAAGGGTGAAGATTAATCACCAATTCTCTAGGAAGAACACACGAGCTGCTGTAAAAAAGTTAATTATTGATAAAACCTGTGCTGCCGTAAAAAGGAAAATTATACCCTGAAAAATACTCATCAAAATTAAATAATTTTAATGTGAAAAAAAAACCAAAGACAAAATCAAGAAAGCAAAACTCTAGACGCACTAATAAGAAACCTGGACAAACCGAGAACTGTTATAAGCAATACGACGGAGGAAATGCGTAGCAGGTGTTCCGAGTCAGACGGCATAATGAAGGGAGTGATAGTGCCATAGGACCCATGCCAGAGTAGGAGGGTGATACGTGTGGTGAGCAGGTAGGAATGGGTTTACGTGGAGAGGGAAACGGAAAATCAGAGGGTGGGAGGTCCCCCAACCTTATGACTCGTCCAGCGGCAAAGACGCAAATATTTTGTTATCATATCGAGGTAAATTTTGCATCATCGGTCGCGCAAATCGAAAAACCAAGGGGTGCTGGCACATCTAGAGCCTACGAGCTTTCATTTAAAACAAATCCTAGGCAAATCAGTTCAGTAGTTTCCGAGATCGAATTAGCACAAACTGTCCAAGCTGAAGGAGGACAAAAAAAGCCTTAGGATATTAAATATACAGATATGGGAAAATCAATTTCAACAAAGAAACCAATTCAAAGTTAATCAACTAAATCAAATATTTAACAGCTTACTTAAAGTTTAAAACCTCAAAATGTTTGTCAGACTTTTTTTTCTTTTATTATTGTATGGTTTGTTGACCTCGGCTACGACTTATAAGAGATCATAAAAATAGAGCTCTTTCATGTGTCAGGAGTTGGCGATTGATGTACTGGTTCCTTTGTAAAACTCCACGTGAAACACGATGGTTTCACTGGAATTCTCTGAATCAAACCCCAAAATAGAAAGGATAAAAAACGCTCTAAGTTGAGGCCATTGCCCCGCTATCCTGACAGTTTACCTCTGCATCCAAGCCAAGCTTTATCTTTAGCCTATATACAGGGTGGCCCAGACCTACCGTACCAGGCCTTTTTTTCGGTTAATTTGGGTCGCACGAAGTCCAGGATCGCGGAGTTGAGTAGGGAATCGACCCCAAAGAATCCGAATTTCATGATCTCAGAGCCCCCCTGGCGGCCCTTGGGGGGTAAAAGGGGGGTCCGTACTTCAAAAGTCAGGGTTAATGTCAAAATTTTGAAATTATTTCATCGGAATCAGAACGTACGGAAAAGTTTAGCTTAAATCGACACCAAGAAATCCAAAATCGGCCCACCCGTGTCCAAAATACCGACCCCTGAAGGCGGGGGACAGAGCCCCCTTTCAAAAAAATTCAAGTTCGCTAAATTGACGTGGAGACTCGGAAAAATGTGTATTCATGGGTAATCGACCCCGAGGAATCCGAATTTGAGGGTCCCGTTGTCCACAGAGACTTTTCTGATGGGGCACAGGGGCAACCTCCACACCGGTTAAATTTGAAAGTTCAGAGTCCCCCTGTGCCCCATCAGAAAAGTCTCTGTGGACAACGGGACCCTCAAATTCGGATTCCTCGGGGTCGATTACCCATGAATACACATTTTTCCGAGTCTCCACGTCAATTTAACGAACTTGAATTTTTTTGAAAGAGGGGCTCTGTCCCCCGCCTTCAGGGGTCGATATTTTGGACACGGGTGGGCCGATTTTGGATTTCTTGGTGTCGATTTAAGCTAAAATTTTCCGGCGGTGTTAAATCTCATTGAACACCGGAAAATATGTGAAGGATGCATTCATTAAAATCCCCCCCCCCCACTTTTCCCCTAAATTTTAAGAATTTTGTATTCAGATGCAAGCAGATCTAAGATTTTTTTTTTAAAGAACCCCGCACAGAGCATGGGCTCACGTCTTTTTAATTCATTAATTTATATCAATGAAGTTTCATACGATT